CTTAGTAAAGTTTTAGGAGAGAGAGAATCAGGACCTGATTCCCAGATGATGCCTGAAAGCTGTGTTCTTCTAATGCCCCATTCTGTAAACTTTGCTATCTCTCAGACTTTCTGAGAGGCAGCAAATTTAGGGGTGGGCATGGATCACTGCCTTGTCGTGGCGAGGGGGCTTGCGCAGTTCAATGAAGCTGTGGGCTATGCCGTGAAGGGCCACCCAAGACGGACAGGCCACAGCAGAGAACTCAGACCAAGCGTGATCCACCTGGAGAAGGAAATGGCAACCCACTCCAGTATTTTTGCCAAGAAAACCCCATGGACAGTATCAAAAGGCTAAAAGATATGACGCCGGAAGATGAGCCCCTCAGGTCGGAAGGTGTCCAATATGCTACTGAGGAAGAGCAGAGGGCAAGTACAAGTAACCCCAGAAAGAGTGAAGCGGCTGGGCCAAAGCCGAAAGGACCCTCAGTTGTGGATGTGTCTGATGGTGAAAGGAAAGTCCGATGCTGCAAAGAACAATACTACATAGGAACCTGGAATGTAAGATCTATGAATCAAGGTAAGCTTGACGTGGTCAAAAATGAGATGGCAAGACTGAACATCGATATCCTAGGAATCAGTGAACTAAAGTGGACAGGAATGGGCGAATTTAACTCAGAAGACCATTATATCTACTACTGTGGCCAGGAATCTCGTAGAAAAAATGGTGTGGCCTTTATAGTCAACAAGAGAGTGCAAAAGGCAGTACTGGGATACAATCTCAAAAATGACAGAATGATTTCTGTCCGATTCCAAGGCAAACCATTCAACATCACAGTAATTCAAGTCTATGCCCCAACCACTGATGCAGAAGAGGCTGAAGTGGACCGGTTCTATGAAGACCTACAACACCTCCTAGAACTAACACCAAAAAATGATGTCCTCATCATCATAGGGGACTGGAATGCTAAAGTAGGAAGTCAAAAGGTAACTGGAATAACAGACAAGTTTGGCCTTGGAAAGCAAAATGAAGCAGGGCAAAGGTTAACAGAGTTTTGTCAAGAGAACACACTGGTCATAGCGAACACCCTTTTCCAACAACCTAAGAGGCGACTCTACACATGGACATCACCAGATGGGCAACACCGAAATCAGATTGACTATATAATTTGCAGTCAAAGATGGAGAAGCTCTATCCAGTCAGTAAAAACAAGACCTGGAGCTGACTGTGGTTCAGATCATGAGCTACTCATTGCAAAATTCAGACTTAAACTGAAGAAAATTGGGAAAACCACGAGGCCATTCAGGTTTGACCTAGATCGCATCCCTGATGAATATACAGTAGAGGTGAAGAATAGATTCAAGGGTCTGGATTTGATAGATAGAGTGCCTGAAGAACTATGGACAGAGGTTCGTGACATCGTACAGGAGGCAGCAATCACCACCATACCAAAGAAAAAGAAATGCAAGAAAGCAAAATGGCTTTCTGATGAGGCTTTACAAATAGCAGAGGAAAGAAGGAAAGCGAAAGGCAAAGGCGAAAAGGAAAGATTTACCCAACTGAACGCAGATTTCCAGAGAACAGCAAGGAGAGATAAGGAGGCCTTCCTGAATGAACAGTGCAAAGTAATAGAAGAAAACAATAGAATGGGAAGGACTAGAGATCTCTTCAAGAAAATTGGAGAAATCAAGGGAGCGTTCCATGCAAAGCTGGCCATGATAAAGGACAAAAACGGTAGGGACCTAACAGAAGCAGAAGAGATTAGGAAAAGATGGCAAGAATACACAGAAGAACTATACAAGAAAGACCTCAATGTCCTTGACAAACACGACGGTATAATCACTGACCTTGAGCCAGACATCCTGGAATGTGAAGTTAAATGGGCCTTAGAAAGCATTACTAACAACAAAGCTAGTGGAGGTGATGGTATTCCAGCTGAGCTATTCAAAGTCTTAGAAGATGATGCTGTTAAAGTTCTGCACTCCATTTGCCAGCAAATTTGGAAAACGCAACAGTGGCCACAGGATTGGAAAAGATCAGTATACATTCCAATCCCAAAGAAGGGCAATGCCAAGGAATGTTCAAACTATCGCACAATTGCACTCATATCACACGCTAGCAAGGTCATGCTCAAGATCCTACAAGCTAGGCTTCAACAGTACGTGGATAGAGAACTACCAGAAGTACAAGCTGGGTTTCGAAGAGGTAGAGGAACTAGAGATCAAATTGCCAACATTCGCTGGATTATGGAGAAAGCAAGAGAGTACCAGAAAAATATCTACTTCTGCTTCATTGACTATGCTAAAGCTTTTGACTGTGTGGATCACAACAAACTATGGCAGGTCCTTAAAGAGATGGGAGTACCAGACCACCTCACATGTCTCTTGAGAAACCTGTATAAGGGCCAAGAAGCGACAGTTAGAACCGGATACGGAACAACTGATTGGTTCAGCATAGGAAAAGGAGTACGACAAGGATGTATACTGTCACCTTGCTTATTTAATATATATGCAGAGTACATCATGCGAAATGCTGGCCTGGATGAATCACAAGCGGGAATTAAGATTGCTGGGGAAAAGATCAACAACCTCAGATATGCAGATGATACCACTCTAATGGCTGAAAGTGAAGAGGATCTAAAGAGCCTCTTGCTCAGAGTAAAAGAGGAGAGCGCAAAAGTGGGCTTGAAGCTCAACATCAAAAAAACTAAGATCATGGCATCCGGCCCCATCACTCCTTGGCAAATAGAAGGGGAAGTCGTGGAAGTAGTGACAGACTTCACGTTCCTGGGATCCCAGATCACCACAGACTGTGACTGCAGCCATGAAATTAAAAGACGCCTGCTCCTTGGGAGGAAAGCGATGGCGAACCTAAACAGCATGATAAAAAGTAGAGACATCACCCTGCCAACAAAAGTCCGCATGGTCAAAGCAATGGTATTCCCAGTAGTCATGTATGGCTGTGAGAGTTGGACTATAAGGAAGGCCGAGCGCCGAAGAATAGATTCTTTTGAACTATGGTGCTGGAGAAGACTCTTGAAAGTCCCTTGGACTGCAAGAAGAACAAATCAGTCAATCCTCAAAGAAATCAACCCTGACTGTTCCCTGGAAGGCCAGATAATGAAACTGAAGCTCAAATACTTTGGCCACCAAATGAGAAGGGAGCACTCACTGGAAAAGACCCTGATGCTGGGAAAGATTGAAGGTCAAAGAAGACGGGGACGGCAAAGGATGAGATGGTTAGACAGTGTCAGCGATGCAACGAACATGAAATTGAGCCAACTTCGGAGGACGGCGGAAGACAGGAGAGCCTGGCGGGAGATTGTCCATGGGGTCGCGAAGAGTCGGACTCGACTGTGCGACTGAACAACAACAAATGATCAGAAGTCCATCTGATTTTCCTTCTCTTCTTCATACCCCTAGTTGTCGGCCTGGGCTGCAAATAAGAGGATAGAAACCAGCTCTTTCTCCTCTCACATTTGCAATGCAGTGATTAAAAGTACTGGATCTGTCCCCACCTACCTTGGAGAGGAGGAAGAGAAACAAGCCCTCCCTTTTGCAATGCAGAGATTAAAAGTGTTTCATCTCTCCCTGCTCAGCATGGATTGGCAAAGAAACAAACTCTTTTTACAATGCAGAGATCAAAAGCATTGCTTCTGTCTTTGCCCAGCTTGGATAGAAAAACTCCCTTTTGCAACTTTGCTGTGTACTGTTTCCCATGAGGGGATGGGGTTGATAAAAATCCCACTCGAGGGCTAATGCCCTGATGAGTCAGTATCTTCTCTCAGTTAATCTTCTCCCAGTATCTTCTCCCAGCTAATGCCCTGTGAGTCAGTATCTTCTCCCATTCTGGTGTAGTGGTTAGGTGCATGGACTCTAATCTGAGAGGAACGGGTTTGATTCCCCTCTCTTCCACATGTACCTGCTGGTGTGACCTTGGGTCAGTTACAAGTTGTTTCAGAGCTGTTCTTTCATGAGCAGTTCTCAAAAGAACTCTCTCAGCCCCACGTACCTCAAAGGGTGTCTGTTGTGGGAAGGGGAAGGGGAAGGAGATTGTAAGCCACCCTAAGAATCCTTCGGGTAGTGAAGGGCAGGGTATAAATCCAATATCTTTTTCTCTCTTCTCTTCCCCCGCAGCTATTTTGGTGAGGGGTCATAAAACTGCATATTATGTTTTTATATGTGTCCAAGTTCTCTGGTCCCACCGTGCCTTCCCTGCAGCCAAATGGCAGTGTGAGGAGCTGCTGTATAAAACATTGCAGGGACCAATTTGGTGCAGGGCCATGGCATGGGGGGGGGGGGGGGGGAGAGAGAGAAGGGGTTTCTGGCTTGCCCCTGTGCTTGTCCCAAAGTGAAACAACCCTGGGGGTTTTTTAGTCCCCATTTTGGAGGTGCAGCCATTCATGCATGTTCATCTCCTAAATGGAGCAAATTAGGCCCTCTGGGGTCCCTTAGCTTGGAAAAATGCAGGAAACCGTGTAGCTGGGCCCTAACTTCCCACTGTACAGTCAAAAAGCCCATGACACAGCGACACTGCTGAAACTATACAGGTCTGATAGCTGCTTGGGAAGATATGCTGCTGGGAGTTGAGTTCCTTGGAAGAAAGACATGATGTCAATGTAGCAAAATCTAAACTTTGACAACTAAAAGTGTGGAGAGGGAAGGGAGTCATAATGCTTTTCCATTTATAACTTTTTGAAAGTTTAGATAAAGGCACCCTTTCACACACACACACACAAATTCAGGCATGGCATCTGAGATACTTGACTGTTCTATTTGTATGGAATCTGATAAGGAAAACTACTGTTGTAATGGGAAGTAGAAGTGCAGATCCATGGGTTTCCTAGAAGAGAGAGAAAAAATTGTCGAATCAGCCTCATCTCCAAATGCTGGCAGTTTGCCATTGCTGTAATTGCATCTTGAACTGAGCTGTAATCCTTCACTATTTTGAAAAACATTAACTGTTTTATATAGCATTTTATCTTATTTAATCATTACTTTGCTAGTAGTGTTAGCTGGGTATTTAAAGCAAACCTGCAAGTCTTTCTCCCGGTATCTGAAACAATACAAAGTCTTTTCAAAAGCCTAAACTTTATTTTCTATGGTTGGCTGGAGCAGCGATGCATGCTTTATTGTGCCTGATTTTATATATATATATAGCATCTCTTTTCAATGGTAATGATGTTAATTATATGTTTTAGTTATACAACATACGAATATAAACTCATAGTACACAATGAAGTAGGATATGGATCAAGTGAGCAAATGATTGCTACAACATTGGCTGGTTTTCCAAAGAAGGGGAGTGATGTCATGGCCCACCCTCTTAACAATACTGCTATAGAAGTGGAGTGGACTATCCCAAGTAAGTGCCCTTCTTATATGAACCATCAGTCTCATATCACTGTAGTGCACATGTGCACTTACCTTACTTAATCTCTGTGTACCTAATGATTGACAGCTGAATGCAATCTGACTCCTTAAACACTTGGACACAAAAAGTGATGTAAAATTGTATGAACCGTCTACCTGTTGCCTTTGGTTTATGATGGGCCATTCACATGTGTGATGTCGCAGTCATGTGTTATATGTGAACTAGATCATAATGATCAATTTTAATGTTCTACATTGCTCAGCTGTGTTGTCATCATGTCAATGTATTTTAAAGTGAAATTTAGCCTTTGAAATTATGGGAATGAGTCTTTAAATAACTGCTTCTTGGTATTTCTACTTACTGTACAGTGTTTTACAAAAAGATGTAATTAGGGTTGCCATCTTTTTATTTATTTATTTATTTTATTTTATTTGGAAAATTTATATGCTGCCTCTGCAGAGGCTCAAGGGAGCTTCCAGCTAGTCTTTCCATGTCTCCAACAGCTGCAAAAGTAAGCAAAAATTCAGTAAATGCAGCATTCCCCATCATTTCACCTTCATGCCAGAAAAAGGTCATATTTCTGGATTTTGATTGCTGAGTCTTTTGTCACCCCAGTATTAAAGGTACATAGTTCTACAATATAAAGTCAGAGGCACTTCAGCCCTGAATATTTTTATTTACTGATGTCTGCAAAAAAAGTGGGAACATCTCTGAGTACTAGAAAAAGAGGAAACTGCTGAAATGTTCAGATATAACAGAATTGGGGCAAGACATGGCTCATATTTAAGCCACTGTAGGTTGTCACAATGGTTCGCCAAATCAGTATTTCTGTTCATACCCTTCTGTGTGTTTTCCAGTGGAGCTTGGATTTTTATGGACATATGAATATCAACATTTGCACTGTGTCATTTTAAAAGGAACATATCCGTTTAATCCAGATTACCTGCCCATCAAAGTACTGAGTTAATTTTTCAATATGTACATGCAAATCTGCCCGTAAGTGTTTGCTGGTGACTCTCAGCAAATGTAGGCACCTTATTTTATAATTGTATGCTTGAAATAAACATGCTTATAAAAACTGACAAACCTAATAGATCTGAAGCAGGCTGCTGAAGTTTCATTACTTTAGTAATCTGAACCTCTGACCTTCTAGATAGAGGTAATGCAATCTGGCTTCATTTTCATTCTTACTGCAGAAATTTCCTAGATATCTGTTTATGAATGCAAAGGTTAAACATCAAGTGAGGGTCATTAGAGCAAACCCTCTCTTTTTTATTTCATGACTGAAATGTGTTACACTAGGCAAACAAAGCAATCTACATGCCTCGAGATATTTTTATTCTTTCACTTGTGTATGAAAATATTTTCCAATAAATTGTTCACAAGCAACTTGTCTTTATGTTTTAGTTGCAGTGAAAATAGAAATATTGCAAAATATAGTTCGTGCAAAAACTGTCCAACAGAAATAAATGACAACAGAACAGAAACAGAGCAAGCCCCTTAAAGTGTGGCCATCAAAGATGTATTCTGGAGTAGACCAGGGTTGCCAACATTTTTGTTAATGAGAGCTACTTCTGTAATGAACGGTATCCTAACCCCCCCCCACACACACACACATTACCAAGTTTTGACATGTCCTAGAAACAGAACATGGACTAGGAAGAGTACTAGAAATGAAATAATCAATTAAGCAGCAGAGAAGAATCCTATGAAATAAAAGCTTTTGGGAAGAAAAAAAAAGCCTTGAACAGATCTTTTTGCAGTCTTTTCCTGGGTCTTCTAGGTGCTGCACAAGCTACCTGTTAGAGATCTTTGGAGAAGACTTACTGCACTGGGTTTACTGAATTTTTCTGCATTAGGTTGCTTGAAGACTTGGCCATGATATTTGATGCACATTTCTGTCTCCGACTGAACTGATTAAACATTTTGTCTGACAACAACCTTGCATTAAGATCTTGATAGTGGGATTGTCCTAGTTTTCAGCACTTTAGGTTGTGTACACTAGTAACTCATTTATGACAGAATCTAGCCAAAAATAAGCATTGCTAAATTCTGTTGTTTTCAATAGGATAGCAATGGAATTTATTTATTTTATTACATTTGTGAATTGCCCAATCCCTGCATTCACAGGGCTCTGGGTGATGTACAACAATATAAAATATGCAGTGCAGTCTTGAGCAAAATCCCCCAGATGGCATCCATGAATCGAATTTTAAGCCAGTTCTGGACTGTGTTGCCACCTTGCAGGCAGGACCAGGAGGAGGCCAAAGGAAAAAGATGGAATAAAGGAGGGTGTGCCAGCCATGATAAAGTCCGCCGCTGTCCTCAACCAAAAGCCTGGCGGAACATCTCTGCATCAGATCCTGCAGGGCCCTGATGTTATTTGGCAGATGGTTCCACCAGGTTGGAGCCAGGGCTGAGAAACCCCTGGCTCTGGTCAAGGATAGTTGGATATCTTTAAAGCCAGGGATCACCAGCAGATTATTCTCCACAGAGTGTAATGCTCTTTGGGGGACATAACAGAGAAGAAGAAGAGGAGGAGGAGGAGGAGGAGGAGGAGGAGGATGGATTTATACCCCGCCCTTCACTTGGAGTCTCAGAGCGGCTTACAAATTCCTTTCCCTTCCCCTCCCCACAACAGACACCCTGTGAGGTGGGTGGGGCTGAGAGAACTCTGACAGAAACGGCTCTTTCAAGAACAGCTTGTGACTGACCCAAGGTCACATCAGCAGGTGCAAATGGAGGAGTGGGGAATCAAACCCGGTTCTCCCAGATTAGAGTCCGCGCACTTAACCACTACACCAAACTGGAAGTGGTCCCAAAGATACATGGGTCCCTGACCACTCATGGTCTTAAAAGTCAGTACCAAAACTTTAAACCTGACTCAGTACTCCACTGGAAGCCAGTGTAGCTGGTGCAGCACAGGTTGAATATGTGCCATCCATGACATTCCCATCAGGATTTGCACCGCTGCATTGTGGATCAGTTGGAGTTTGTGCTGGTGTCCCTTTAAGAATGAATTCCCCTCAAGAATGGGAAGTTCGTGCCCCAACCCTGAAGCCCCTCCACCAGCCACAGAACCTCCGTCTTTGTTGGATTGAGTCTCAGCTGGCTCTTTTTCAACCATCCCACCATGGCCTCCAGACCTACAGCCAAATTACATGGGGCGGTATCTGGGCAGCCATCCATTAAGAGATATAGCTGGGTATCATCAGTGTACTGATGACATCCCAGCCCCAAACTCCACACCAGCTGGACGAGAGGGTGTATATAGATGTTTAATAACATCAAGGAAAGGATTGCCCACTGAGGAACCCCAAATATTAAGGGGTACCTAGTTGACATCTTCTCCCCCAGTGCCACCTGCTGTCCCTGTCCAAGGAGAAATGAGGAAAGTCATTTTCCTCCCACATCAACAAGGCAGTGGGTCAGTAGGTCATAGTCGACTGTGTCAAACACTGCTGTGAGGTCAAGTAGGTGCTGCTCTTTTGGGCAGGTGTCTTGTCTGCATACCTTTATCTACAACACATATAAAATATTTCATGACATGATTTAACTGACTCCTACTTTCAGACTGGTTAACAGTTATTCCCAGGCAGTTGTTGGGTTTAGCATATACAGCTCTTAATGCACAAGCAGTCCTGTGGGTTTCAACACCATGTAGCAGAAAAAGCCATTGTGTACATGTGTGAATTAAGAAGCTGGGACAGTGGCATTCTGGGTTAATAAGTGGCCACCATTTTATTACAATTGAAAGATTGCACAACAAGAAATACTTTGGTTGCAGTCACACACACGGAATAATTCCCTTTCAGTGTACTTTCCAACTGGATTTTGCCAGTTCACACAGTAAAATCCCGTTGGAAAGCGCACTGAAAGTGCATTGCAAGTGGATTATTTAGTGTGTATGACTGCAGTCTTAAATTCACAGTCCCAGTGCAGGCATCATCCTGGGTCTAGGCAGCTGAAACTTCATTTCCCTGTCTAATTCCCTTGTACAGGTAAGCAGTCTTGCTTAAGCCTTGGAAGACTTCTTAAGCTTTGCTCCCTGGCTCCTCACAGGCACAACTGTGCTGAGAGAGACCTTTCTAAGACATTCCCTGCTTCCCAGATGCCCTAAACTCTAGATAGATGAGTTGGTCAGGCCCCAAGACCAGACTCCGTAGCCACGTGTAAGTGGTCTAATGAAGCCTCTTTCACCATATAAGTAATGTCCCATAGAACTCACGAAGATCATCCATCCTCAACCCTCATCCTTATCTGTTCTGCCCCAAATAGGTGTGACCTATCTGAATTGTATTTTATTGCTTTGCCCTAATGACTCAACCAGGAGGGAAGGCGGCATGGTATAGCCCAATCTTGTCAGATTTTGGAAGCTAAACAGGATTGGTACTTGGGAGACTGCCAAGAAAGACTCTGCAGAGTAAAGCAATGGCAAACCATCTCTGCTTCTTACTCACCATAAAAGCCCCTTGCAGAGATTCTTCCAATTGTACCAAGGAGGCAGGCATATCTTCTTTAAAACCCACTGACTACATGCCCTATATAGGCCAGCTAGCACAAGGCTGCTGCCAGCTCATGGCCATGCCTCCCTCTGCCACTGTGGGCAGTGCTGCCCCCCCACACGCCATGTAGGAGTGAAGGAGTGCATGTGTTTGTTGAATTGGATGTTTGCTATGTCTGGGCAAAAAAAAAAATGGATTCTGTGTTAACACTGTATTTTTCCCACATCTTGTTTTGCAAGATAGCATGTGTGCAGCAGTGGCTAAAAAGTCTGGGTTTGATCCAGCAATCTGTCAGCACAACGTGCTGACATTTATGGATCTCCCCCACCCCACAATCATTTTCAACCCTGGGAGAGTTCATTTCTCAGGGTCATAGGACCCTCCCCCCTGTATATTTTGTTTTAATTCCCCCCTCCCCTTCCCACTAAATGGTCAGGCAGTCCAGAATTGGAACAGAAAATTGTAAGTTGCCACCTTGGATCTTTTTACTCTGGTTTTAGTTCTCATCAACTGTATATGGATATTTTAACATTTGTATCTTCTTTTATGGGATCTTGCCTTTTGTATGTCGCCCAGAGCCCACCATAAGCTGGGATAGAGCGATTAATAAATCAAATTAATAATAATAATAGCAACAACAATAACCACCACCACCATGTGGGTCAGTGGACTGAGGAGAGAAGGGGACAGTATTGGCCTTCCTACCGCTTTCCTCATTGCAGATCTGCTGCCAAAGTGCAAGAAGGGAACAATTTTTTTCTTACTGCAGCTGACCAACCCCTATAGCTATAAATCCATACACGTCCCATAACCTCAGGAATCAACTTTCCCAGGGTCAGAAATGGCTGCGGTGGGAGAAAGCAGGGAAAAGCTGTAGTCATTGCACAAGTGAATCACTGGATCCAAATCCTTGCTGTGCTTGACTGTCTTTATGACTGGCAATTGCAGAGGAGGTCCTTAATGTCTTCATGTGAGACTGGACCCATTACACACATACATCTTACTGAAGATTTTCAGAGCAGTAAGCCTTTAATTTTGACTTTGGATTCTGTGCCTGCCTTATGCACCATTCTTCTTCCTCTAGGGTATTTATTCTGCAGCTACAATTTTTTTAAAAGGCACCTTTCTAAATTGGGGTGGTATGTCACTTGTGACATATTGGGGGGGGTTCCAAAGTTTTTGTTTTAAATTATGCAATTGCCCTATCACAGATGTGCAGTTGTGTCCAGCAAGCGCCTTCCATTTTTATCCTTGTGGTTCAGGTTTTACGCATGCATGTTAGTGTTAGCTCGTTGAATGAAAGGGAACAGAAAGGAACACAGGCAAAGGGAGAAGACCCGATAACGAAAATAATTTATTTATTTATTACATTTATATCCCACATCTCCCCACCGAGGCAGGCTTAAATTGGCTCTGGAGAGCTTTTTAAGTCTTGTGCCACTGAACTGAAAAAGAAAATATGGCGAGGCTATTTTCACCAATGCCCTTGAGCATCCACATAGTAACTCTAATCTCCTGCCATTCGTTGCAAGTTTGTGCGGTCTTCTCTTTGTGATTCCCTAATTTGATCCTGCACACTGTTTGTGATCTGGGCAGATTTTTAAAGCCTGTCCTGTGTGGATTCTACTCTTTCTCCCAATGGACCAATCCCAAATGATTCTTCAATTCAGCGGTTTACAGAAGGTTGATGTGGCTAAGCTGCCATTTTAACGTTGGGATTCCAGAGATTTCCAGAATTGTTCCTCCCCCCACAAATATTGTTCACTAAAACATTTAAGGGAAAATGTTCTCTAAGCTTTAGGCTCCCGATCGCAGTCTCTCTCTCTTTACAACTTGTCAATTTCATTCTGTGCTGACAATCCCCCCCCCCTTTATTTTGTTTGCATGCAGCACTGAAATCTTTTTATTTTCCATTGGGGATGTGGCTGTTTGCCTCCTCTCCAATCCTCACAACCACCTCAGGGAGACCATATAGAGATGTGTGACAGCTCCATCTTACAGGCCGTGTGGAATTGAATAAGATCCTGTAGGCTTTAAAGGTGCGACTCCTTTTAAACTTTCCCCGTCGTTTTAAATTTTTAAGATTCAGCAATCTGAGACTAGCAATAGTCTCATATCGGTAGACTCTTGATGCTTGTCAAAAAATTAAAATTTTTAAAATGAGTGGAAAATGGAGCTTGTACACTGATTAAGGGGGGAGGATGGTGGAAGGTGCAGAGTGGGCAGAATGACCTTGATGTGGGAGGGGAAGTATCCTTCGAGGGGCAGCAAAAGGGCTGGGAGAATCCGAGGGAATCTGTATGCTTTTGAATTACCTTCAGCTTGGAAGAGAAACAAGGGGGAAATCAACACAGAAGACCACTCTGCACCTTCCACAAATGATCTGAGTGCTGAAGGGAAGAAAATCAATGCAGAACGACAAAGAAAACCCAACAGATAGGCATGGTGAAAGTGAGGGGAAACAACTGTGTATAATAGGCTGTGAATACAACTAGAGCAATGCACCCTTAGATTCAGGCAGGCCTCTGCAGGTGCATTCCTTGTTGAGTTGATGTGTGTAGGTGGGTGGTGTACTGTAGGCAAACAGTGTTTGATCTCTGCATCCAGTATTTTGGATAGTTCCCAGCATGGACCTGAAAATCCCATGTGCAGCATGGAACACTTGCAGCATGTTTTGTACCCGTTCTTCCAAACATATTTGGTGTTGACAATTCTAACCATCTATTGGATACCTAGGATCACACACGTGTGCATGACAGTCTTTTACTCACAGCTATGCATGTTACTTAATGCTAGAAAATTCAAAACTATTTCTTTTGACTTTCACAGGTTCATTTTCAGTTTTTCCCCATTTTTATTAATTCATTATACAGCCTTGCAAGATTTACAGGGAAGCATTGAATATTATGTCCTGTTTTGGAATACCACTGCCCATGAGAGCTCCAGGAAGATTCCTCCCAGTGAAAACCATACTGTCATTGGTGAATTGCATCCTAACACCAAGTATCAGATTTTGCTTCATGTTTTCAACGGGGTTCACGGCATTGCAAGTGAGGTGGTGTGTGTGACTACATTAGATGGAGGTAGGTTGAGCAGTGGATGCAGCATGGCTTAAAATCTGAGAATGAAATTGATTTATTTTTGTTGGGGTTGAAATCAGTCATTCTTCCATTATGAAATTTCCGGTATAAAAAGGGGAAATGGCTAAAATGTTTAAGTGCTGGTTGTCATCAAGTGGCTGATCAATAAAAGACCCAGTGGAGACAGCCGTACACAGCTCTAATAGCGGATATTAACCCACTTTGTTCTCATCCTGACCTGTTTACCACTATCCATGTACCTTCAGTTTGCAGCTGAGTGTATGTCAATAAATGGAGAGACTTAAAAACAATTAATGGTTTTTAAAATGATTTGCTTTGTGAAGCTTTTGACAGGACAGTCAACAATAGGGCCGTTCCTGACTCACCATGGAAGGTGAAAATCCAACCTCTGAGAGAATTTCCTTATGAGTCATTTCCGAGTCAGTTAGCACACGGGTGGGTGGGAGGGAAGAAAGCAACTTGTGAATCTGAAATGTGTTTGGAATGGCCTTTCTAATCTTTTTGGCTTTATAAAGTCTCATTATAAACATTATAATATCATTACCTCAGAAGCAAGTGTTCCAGGTCATTAGCAAAGCACTTTAAGTGGGGATTGCATTTCCTTTGCGAAGCCAAAGGTCAGACTCTTTTGTTTATAAAATAGAAATCAGTGCACGTGCCATTTTTCAACTGGTTAAGATGGACCTACCAGATAAAAATAGGTCCTTTGCATCGCTATTTCTGACATGCTTAAATAATTTGTGTAATTTAACACCAAGGAAGATTTTTTTAAAAAAAACCTGTAAGGCTTCATCATTATCTACAGTAATCAGCATTCAAAACCATTTACATAATAACAGTATTGCATATTGCTTCACATTACTCCAGTTAAGAAGGCTGGTAAAAGCTATGGCTATGACACATTTCACTCTGCAGTGTATTTTAGTTGTTGCTTTAGAAACAAATTGCCTTTTTTGTGTGACGGATAAGACTATACCAAATAATAGTGGATGGACCACACAGATAAGTGAATAATTTATCATTGCTTCCCACTGGTCACATTCTGCAGAAGATGAACCCGATGCTGGTCATAGAAAGCACTTTACCACCATCTCCCACTGTTTCTAGCTGAGATTATAATAAGCCAATTTGGAGAGGAATACAGACAGTGATAACTTCATCAAAGGCGAGGAGATAAGCAGCAGAGCCTTTGCTAAACCCAAATTATAATCTGCATTTGGTTAAACAAGTGCTTTTACAGAGACAGCTGGAGTTTATTCAGTTTCTTCCTTTCTTTCTAGAGCCGGAGGGCATGTTCCCTCCAGAGGTTGTCATCATCAACAGTACAGCTGTACGTGTCATCTGGACATCGCCTTCAAACCCAAATGGTGTTGTCACAGAGTATTCTGTCTATGTAAATAATAAGCCATACAAGACTGGAATGAATGAATCGGGGTCTTTTCTTTTAGGAGATTTGTCTCCCTTCACTATTTATGATATACAGGTTAGAACATCATTTTAAACACTATATATAGCTTGCAATGTTACTGTAGTGCATGAGTATGTGTGTGGATGTATGGATACAAACACACACCTCTGTAGTATATACACATCTGTGGGTGTGAAAGTAAAAAGAAGTGTGTGGGTTTGTCAGTCACAATTTTAATGTACACTTCAAGGAAGAATTACACACACATATATATATTTATATTTATATATTTATTTCGAAATATATTTTTGATGAAGTTTGGTAGGTCTGAGTGTATGGATACACACTCAACATATTTATATTTATAAATCATTGTACACACGTGTAATGGGTCCACAAGCTATGTTTATTTTTGTACACATTTATTTTTATGGCTTTGTGATATATTCATATTTCTCTCTTTTAAGGACTTCAGAACTCAATTTCCACTGATCCAGTATGGTGAACTTGCAATATACATTACAAAGAGGCAAAGATCACACTCCTACTCATTAAAACCAAATTGCAATTGTTTTAGAAACATCAGGCATGCATAATGCATCAGCCCAGAGAAATAATGCTACTGCATTCGTTTGCCTTTTATCATCTTTTCCCTCCTCCCTTCTCTTTGTGGAACCGGCTGATCGCAGCCATGCAATCCCAGTCTTTTAAAAATACTATTAATATTTAAAACCTTTCTTCATCTTTGGTACCCCCCAAACCCCATACGTTGTTTCCTAGCTCTGTGAATATATGCTGTAGAAAAAGCTAAACACACTTTTCACATTTTTGAATTACGTTTAAGTATCTAACTTTAATTGCAACTTCTCCAGCTTGTTTTCCTCACTTGGGCCTGACTTAGTTGAATTATGTATGGGAAGGTCTTCACAGTAATCATGTATACTTTGTCCTAAAATTTGCATCCAGTTACAGTGTGCCATAAATAAACGTCACCCTGCGGCACACCGTAACAGATTTCTATGTTCCAACCCCTCTGCAGCAGCAAGTCCCCCCACCCCATGAATACACATATGACTTTCTAGTCTCTGCTTGGACACACATTTGTCTTGTTCCTTAACAGCAATGCAAATTCAAAGCACTACCGGACTTTGGGGGCCTCCATATTAATTTACCATAGGCATGTAATGCATCTTGCAATCTTAATTGGTTTGCTCTTCAGTTTCTCCCATCTTGGTATCAGTGCCAATGTTTATGACATTCAGTAGGAATAAATCTAAAGACTTAATTGGAATTTTTACTTTAAAAAAATTCAGGCATTCCTCAGTTCCTTATAAACGATGTAGATTTGTGTCTGTATTGCCCTTTACCGTCATAGGAGACATCTGTATATTTGTATTTTTCTGTATTGCTTTTTTGTTGCTAAAGTGAACAAATTCTTCCTTTGGATCCATTTAAATTTTTCCTGAGAACTGAGGGAATTGCATTTTATACCTCATATTCACCGTTCATCAGACATGAATATTTCATTATGGAAACAAAATTATTCACAAAAGGTAGATTCCAAAAAGTTTATATGCTGTTCTGAAATGTTTCCTTGTTTGTAGCTCCAAAATGCATGCTAAAAAATGCAGCTTCAAAGTACATTCCCCAAATGCGAATATCTTGGGCTGCAAATGTTCCACTAGCAAAAAGTGGCCTCTGTGAAAGCATAAAGATGTTTCCAATTTATTGACAAGAATGAGAAGCTTTTTGATATGTTGTGGGGGAGTTACATGTAATTTTGGATCATCCCCAAGATGTTTAGGACAAAGCATCACAATTTTAGGAGTTCCTGAATACTTGCCTAAATATTTTGTTACCTTATTAGTCACATGTTTCTTTTTGCTATACCTGGTTAGTGTTGAAATAATTATTTTAAATAATTTTTCTGTCCTACTTTTCTACACAAAACAGCTAATAAAACATAAAATGTCAAAGCAAAACAATAAATTCCTATATATATAATTCCCTTATGTATTGGCCATTTCCAGCTCTCCCATTGGCTATGCAGTGCGCTCTATCAGCCATTGACCCATCAACTGCCACTCAAGAGTACTTGTGTGCCATTGGCTGGGTGCTGGGTCTGCTCCTCTCCCCCACCCACTGCCAGCCTGGAAACTCTTCTCTCACAGAATAAACTGCCTGACGAATACAATTATCCTGGTTGGTTCCTGTGGGACTAATGTTTCCCTCAGTGGCTGTTGCTAGGCAACCATGCTTGGTTCTGTCCGTATAAAGGCAAAGGCAGGAGGCACTTTCCAGGCCTTTGTGGGGAACTCATTGGGGCCAGTCCTGAGTAGGGTTGCCAGCTCCAGGTTCGGAAATTCCTGGATATTCTGTGGTGGAGTCTATGGAGGGGAGATACCTCAGCTGAATAGAATGCCACAGAGCCCACCCTCCAAAGCGGTCATTTTCTCCGGGGGTGAGAGATCTGTAGTCTAGAGTTCAGTTGTGATACCTAGTGATCTTCAGGCTCCACCTGGAGGTTTGTTATCCTAGACATAGCAGTTAGCACTTCAGAGCAGGGTCTGACAGACCCAGGTGCTTGCTATGGAAGTTGAGTGGGTGATTTTGGACCAGACACAGACTTTCAGCCTAACCTACCTCACAGGGTTGTTGTGCAGATCAAAAGGAGGAGAGGAGAATGATGTAAGCTGCTTTGGTCTCCACTGCGGAGAAAGACTGTACTTTTCCTCCTGGGAAACCATTGATGCCAATCTCCAGGTGAGGGCTGGAGATCACTCAGAATTAAAACTGCTCTCCAGATGGCAGAGATCAGCTCCCCTGGAAAAAGTGGCTGCTTTGCAGGGTGGACTCTGTGTCATTATACCCTGCTGAGATTGCTGCCCTCCTACTTGGGTTCCCACTGTTGAGAAAGACTGTAGTTTTCCTAGGTAGAGGCTACAGTGAGGGGGGAAGACATGGAAACCTGAAGTCAGAGGGGCAAATAATGGTATGTTGATGGTTGGCTGGGAAGGAAATAGGGTTGCCACCTCCAGGTTGGGAAATTCCTGGAGATATGAGGTGTGAAACCTGGAGAGAGTGGGGTTTGAGAAGGGGTGGGATCTCAAACAGGTACAAGGGCATAGACTCCACCCTCCAAACAAGCCATTTCCTCCTGGGGAACCATTGTTGCCAATTTCTAGGGGAGGGCTGGAGATCACTCAGAATTACAATTGCTCTTCAGATGGCAGAGATCAGTTCCCCTGGAGAAAACGGTAAGCTCTGTGTCATTATACCCTCCTGAGGTCACCATAGCAAATTGACGCTGAGTGCCCAAGACCAGGGCACCCACCCAGAGCCTCTTTCTAGAGCTCATTGTATTTATTTCCACAACGGGCATTATTCCTACTCTATTATAAAAGTCATAATAAAATTGACAGTATCTTAAAAAACACAAATGCGACCAAAACAGGAGCATTTGGATTGTTTAAAAATAAAACCCGTAGATGTTGGAAGTTTAAGTACCAGGTAGTCAAGCTGTTTGCATGTTTAAACATAGTTATCAAAATTCTGTATATTCTGTAAATTAAACAGAATATTTAGGGAATACTTAGTTACCTTAATGTAAGAAGTTAAAAGTAAAAACATACAGACAATGAAAAAGGGAATGTCAGTGTGTTTATAATTTTGTTTCCTTATGAATCTAAATGAGATGCAAAGTTATGGAATAATAGTAAAAATAAAATAATAGTAGTAAATATTGAGGTATAGAACAGAGTATGAAAATTGAGTTTTTATTTTGATGAGACTATATAGTATATAAAACGTACAGATAATTACTTAATTTGACTGGGGAAAGTAGGTTATCATTACTGCTTAGGTTGTTTTAAAAACTTTGGGAAATCTATGCTGAGTAAATAGATGAAAGATCAGACGGCTGTCTGTGCTGATCTTGAATTAAAGAGAAGAAAGTCTGGTATTGCAAGTAGGAGAATACTTATACTAGGGGTTGGTAGATGGTCTGGTACATGAATTAGGAAAAATATAGGTTGAATTATGGTTAGAGAGATAGATATGATATGAGAACACATCGTTACGTTACTTCTGTTCGCTGAATCTCATTGGTATTTTTTGTTTGTTTGTTCTGAAAACTAATAAAAAGATTGTTAAAAAAAATAAATAAAACCTGCAGATGCCCTGTGAAATTAAAGTCAGGGAGGTATAGTGCAAAGTGAGCCTCCTAGGGGAAGGAGTCAGAGTCCTAGGTGCTATAGCCAAGAAAGCTCTGTCCCTCAAAAGGTTACCTACCGACTGCTTACCCAGTGCCTACTTTTCTTTAAAACAATAGAAATTATCCTGCAGAATCATTCAAGATACCATTTTCTCTGATAATTATTATAGGTTGAAGTCTGTACAGTATACGCCTGTGTGAAAAGTAATGGAACCCAAATTACCACTGTGGAAGATGAACCAAGAGAGTTATCAGCACCACAGATTAACGTCCTTGGTCCAAGGTATGAAAATAAAATTTAGTTTTTCTTATAAAAGAAACCAGGAATGATTTTATGATTCAAGCCATCAAGCAATGAATGTTTTCACATCAAAGCAATCCCCAGTTACTTATTCAGTAGTGAAGAAGAAGGTCTGGAGCTAGATCTGTAAGAAGACGGTGGCAGTGTTCCTGGTGGTGATGGCTGGGAGCTGCTTGAGTAATGGCCAGTGCAACAACAATCACAGCCTCCTTTCTATTCTTGTGCTTATTCAGATTCCCACTACATAGATATTTATTTATTATTGATTGATTGATTCAATTTATTTCCCTCCCTCCTTGCGTAGCAGGCTCAGGGCAGCTTGCAGTATGTTAAAATACGTTAAAACACAGATGCATTGGAACAATGCAATAACGTAGTATGCAACAAATGGCAATCATAAATACATATAACTACATATAAAAAGATAAAATGCTGATGGCAGTAGTGTCCCATAGGGTCGAATTACACTGGCTGTTGTTATTCAGGTTAACAAAGAGGGCCTTAACAGTTCAGATGTTAACTGTTCAGATATTATCAATTATATAGTCAGTGGTCAGTGGCGGCTCCTAATCAAAGGCCTGGTGGAAGAGCTCCGTTTTACAGGCCCTGCAGAACTGTAGGAGGTCCCGCAGGGCCCTGATGTCTTCTGGGAGCTCATTCCACCAGCATGGAGCTGCCACTGAGAAGGCCCTAGCCCTGGTAGAGGCCAATCTGGCGTCTTTCGAACCAGGGAGAGTCAGACAGTTTTGAGACCCTGACCTCAGTGCTCTCTGGGGAACATGTGGGGAAAGGCGGTCCCTCAGGTAGGCAGGCCCCTGATCATACAGGGCTTTAAAGGTCAAAACCAGCACCTTGAAGCGAATCTGGTATGCTATTGGTAGCCAGTGCAATGCCTTCAGCACAGGCTGGATGTGTTCCCGCATCGAGAGACCCATCGACAGCCTGGCTGCCACATTCTGCACCAGCTGCAACTTCAGGAGTTGTGACAAAGGCAGCCCCATGTAGAGAGCATTGCAGTAGTCTAGTCTTGAGGTGACCATAGTATGGATCACTGTTGCCAGGTCATTGCATTCGAGGAAGGGAACCAACTGCCTGATCAGCTGAAGATGGTAAAAGGCTGCCTTAGCAGTGGCTGCTACCTGAGCTTCCATTGTTAAGGCAGCATCCAGGAGCACTCCCAAACTCCTGACCCATGGTGCTGGCACTAACTGCGCCCCGTCAAAGGCCAGTAGTGGAATCCCTACCCCCAATCCACTCAGGCACAGGACCTCCATATTCATCAGATTCAATTTCAATCAGCTCAGTCTAAGCCAACCAGCCATGTCCTGAAGTGCCCAGTCCAGATCTTCTGGGGTAGAGTCAGACTGACGGCCCAACAACAAATATAGCTGGGTGTCATCTGTGTATTGGTGACACCCTAGCCCATGCCTCCGGGCAATCTAGGGAAGGGGATGCATATAGATGTTAAATAGCATTGGGGACAGCACCGCTCCTTGGGGGACCCCGCAGATCAGTGGGTGCCTTCGGGATGTCTGATCCCCGAGAGCCACCCTTTGTCCCTGACCTTGGAGAAAGGAGACAAGCCATTGCAAGGCAAGCTCTTGAATCCCAGTGTCAGTGAGGTGGTGGATCAGTAGCTGGTGGTTGACCATGTCGAACACCGCCAACAGGTCCAACAACAATAGCACTGCCATTCCACCCCAATTTAGATGCCTCCAGAGGTCATCTGTGAGGGCGACCAGTGCCGTCCCCGTCCCATGACCTGGGTGGAAGCTGGACTAGAAGGGGTCTAGCATGGACATGTCATCCATAAAGCTCTGCAACTGTATTGCCACCGCTCTCTCAATTAATTTGCCCAAATAGAGCAAATTGGAAACCAGCCAGTAATTTGCCAATTTGGCTGGATCCAGAGATGGTTTTTTACCATCGCTTCCTTGAGTGCCCCCGGGAACAGCCCCTCAATGAGGGACTTGTTGATAGTATCCCTGAGAGCACCTCAGAACCCCTCACGGCCAGCTTTAGTTAGCCATGAAAGGCACGGATCAAGGCTGCATGTGGTTGGGTGTACTGTCGAGAGCAATCTTTCGACTTCCTCTAGGCTGAGTGGACTGAAATAATCCAAAATCGGACTAGAAGACATGCATGGAGCCTCACTGTCTCAACTGTTGTGAGAAGATTGCAGCAGAGTAACAAGACTTTATCTGCAAAATAGCTCGCAAAAGCCTCGCAGCCAATATCCAATTCCCTAGCATTTGGTCTGCCCTGTGGCAGAACTGTTAAAGACCGAATGGTTCTAAACAATTGGGTCGGGTGTGAGCTTGCAGACACAGCCATAGCCTCGTAGAACTCTTTGTGGCTTTGATTGCCATCTCATAGGATCTCAGAAATGACCTATAAGATGCTCTTGTTGCTTCATCGTGGGCATGCGATGAGGGCAGCACAATAGTGGAGCCATTGTCCTCACTTTGAATATGTATAGTTTGGCACAGAGCCAAATTGGATTGTCTGTATAGTATGTGAGTCCCTGGCATTTGGAGTGATCCCTGATTAGCTGAGATCACATGAGAAAGAGGCTGCCAGGTGAAGAGAAGTGGAACTGAAGCAACAATATGACAAACACTATAGGTCAGAAGAATTGAAATATGATTGAAATATGACAAACACTATAGGTCAGAAGAATTAAGCTGTTGAGGTTCTTTTAGGGAATATCCTCCCAGCTCTTTTTCATATAAAAAGATAATTCCCCAAAAATATTAAGTGCAACTCTATTTTTTCCTCTTCAACCCCCATCAATTTTCACCTCTATACCCTGGGCATTTCTCCAGGCTTTCTGTAATGATGAGTCTGGGGAAGTATTCGCTGCCTATTCCCCCCCTCCCCCCAATGGATATTAAAAGAGATGAAATTGAACATAAGTAGGGTCTGGGATACTTTCTGTACAAGCAGAACTACAATATCTGCATGAGAAACCAAACATCGCTGTACTGCATTGTTGCTATTATGTATGTATATATTTGTGCCTCAGATCTTGCATTTCCTTCTTCATCTTTCTCTTGTTATGGGCAATGTTTTCAAAAGCAAATCTGGTGTCAGACTGGGAATACAGTTGAACATTGACAAATGCAGTCATTCTTTTCCTAAAAAGATCCAGAAGTGCCAACATTTCCAAGAGAGAGTCTATAACTAATGGGCATACATGCCAAGACATTTATCAAAATTATGGCAACAATAAAATAGTTAGCCTCTTGCATTCATGTTATTGTTGATGTGATTTTATTACACTTTTGGCAGAGATTGGTATTTAGTTTTTTTCTTGTAAGGAGCAGGAACATTTCTTTTAAATAACTAAAAATCTAACATCTAAATCTTCAGAAATACACCAGTGGAATGGATTTGCTCCTACATCTTTCAAAGGAATTTTTGTTTGTTCTTTATACATCTTTTCTCTGCATTCTATATTTGTCTGTTGAAAATGTAATTGCTAGGTGAAATTAAGCTTGCTGTTTTTCTGTCGCATAAAGTGATCCAGTCAAAGCTTGTTTGATCATAAGAACTCAATTCTGGAATACATTGTTCCCTCTGGCTTTTCACTGATGTATGCCTTTGTCTGTAGTATAGCAAACACTTATGCATGTCTCCGTTATTATATACAAACAAAAAATGTCATAACACATGAATGCAAAAAGATCAGAAATATCTCCCAGATTTTATGATCTGCTCAGCCAGAAACAGACTTTCTCCATTGCCTTTCCTTACATGTCATATTATCATCAGCTGTTCTTATATCCCAAAAGAATACTAACTACTGATCGATTGCCCGGACATGTCTGGCTGTGGCCTACACGTGCCCCGGGTAGTTCATTTATTTGCCACGGTGGATTTGCTAGAGTGGAATTTAATCAATAGTTAATTCATTAATTCTGGTCTTCGAGTATGTAGTGACTATGCAGTATAAAAATGGCTGGCTGACTTCAACTTTGATTGAAATATGACAAACACTATAGCCGACAGCTTCAGCAGGTGCTGGCCTGCATAAGAATTTTTCTTATTTATCCTCCATCAAGGAATATGTTCAAGGGGAAAATAACAGATTGTATAAACAAGAAGACATTTTAATACATATCTGCCTATGGGGAAAAGGTATGATTTCGAGAAAAAAGCCACATGGGAAGCTAGCAATACAAGACATATTCTGAAACTTATTTCTTTTTATTGAAATTATGATGGCTGTTCTCCTTATGGTTTTTTTTCGGGGGAGGGGGGAAAATTCACAGTTGGATCAGTGATATTGTGAAGAATATTTTCAGGCCATATCTGTACAGCAATCACACACAATTAGTGTGAATTATGCCCAGTGATACAAACAAACATATGTTTCTATGGCCCCCAAGTTGACAGAAAAAAAACCCATGTGGGATCCAGCCAGGGAGGGAGGCTGTCCCCCGGGTCCACTCTGCTTCACGAGGAAGCCACATTCAACCCTGGGATCGCCTCAACTGACCTCGCTTCCCTCCCCATCTGGCCGGTCGGAGCCCTGGTGAGAATGAAAGACTGGGCTTACTTAGATTAATAAAGCCACCTGTGGCTTTGCTCCCCCCCCCCGAGGCAGGATCGGGCCCCTCTTTGCTTGAAAATGCACTGCTGGTGGCTGGATGCGACAGGGAGAGGGGATTGGGTCTCTCCCCCAAGAGCGAAGGGCTTGATCTGCCACAGCTCTTTTCCGTCGGTCTCCACCGACCTTGGGATGATCACTCTCGGCCTAATGCACTCTCCTCGGGTTGGTGTGTGACTCAGGTTGGTGTGTGACTGATAAGGAGGAGCTCATACGCCACCCTGAACTTATCTGAAAATGAAACACACCTGCATTTGCATACAAACTTCCGTTTTTCAGGCTGCATTGAATGGGATGGGATTCAGTTCGGAGCTTCAGCGAGTTTGGGGCTGGAAGGGCATGTGAAAGAGAAGTGGTGCTGAGGGGGGAG